AAAACGGAAAACCTCAATGTCCAGATCATACTCAAACATGCACAATACACCCAATCTCTAATCCAATCTACCCACGAATCGTGTGTGCGTCCCTTTTGCAATGACATCCTCCACAGAACAGTAACGGAATGCTCTCACCCGCGGGCGATTACACCTCCTAGAGAATACTCCACCTCTTCGTCCGTAGTAATTGGGTTGAATGAGCCTGATTTCTCGGAAACCGGATACACCCGCTTGAGAGTTGGGGAGGATAGATTGACGTCTGCTGGGGGACATTCTGTGAATTGATCCGGTGCTCGGGGACTAATATCCTCGAATTCCTCCCCCTAAATTACTTATTCCCCCCCTCAATTTGAGTCAAGAAGGGATATTAGATTCGCGGTCCCTATTCATATCCTCAGAAGCTCCCGGGGTCACCCGGGGGTTCTGTTGGTTTGTTCTGGGTTTTGATTTGTTTGCCTTGATAGTTTGGGGAGAAAATTCGCGGGGTTCGGGTGCCCGGATCCAAGTGGAGTCTTGGTCACCCGCTTGTTTTCACCCTTCTTGGGGGTCATTGCTAGGTTCATCTGGGGGGTCCAGTTCACACTCAGGTAATTTTAGATTGGCCTCAGCCGTTCTCTACGCCCCCTATTTCGGATTATCCTTTTTGGGACCAAGAGTTCAAGTGTATACCTGCGTTTGCTTGAAGATCCAATTCGCCCCCTCAGATATCATTAACTTGGTGCCACAGTGATATGGGTGCGGATTAGATTTGCTGAATTCCGCTCCCGTGTCCTCTTTTCTGGGGGCAACACCTGTGATGGAGTTTTGGGGGGGTAGGCTCTCTTCTAGTAGTGCCCTTCATGTACGATATTCCATTGATCTTGTATTCTTGGATGGATTTGCAACCTTATATTTTGCGGTTTCTTTCCTAATTTGGTTCCTGACTTTAGGACTCTATATAAACCCAAAATTGCCGCTACGGCCATTCCACCAACCGCGGCACTAGTTGCCATTATTTTGGTAAAAACGGTACCTTCACTGTTTGGGACATACGTTTTTAACACTTCTTCGCCCCCGTTAAGCTCCTCTACGATTCCGCTCCCCTGTTCGGGGTCGTGGTCTTGTACCTGTGACGTGAGGAGGAATTTCGTCTCCGGTTCCCTACGAGTTCGGCCTGTTAATCAGGGTCACGCCGCCATACTTCAGCGCCGTCAGCGCAGTAGATGTTCCTTTTGTGGCTGCTCTCCCCTGAAGAGTTGCCCCAGGAATTGTGTGAGTTGTCATTCCGCTTTCGGTTCTGGCGTTGCTCTTAAAGTTATGCGCGCCGCTCCTTAGGGCAGGTGGGTCCCCTCAACCCCTACGGCTCCTCGTTTGGTGTTTAGAATTCTACTTCGCACATAGCATTTCTTACCTCCTCAACCGTTCGGGATTCCTCGCTCCCTCCTTTTGTCTCGCATGACTTGGAGTTCCCCCTCTGCAGACAGGTTGTCCTCCATTCCTCTGCGTCGTGGTCCTCCTCGTAGCATTGTACCTTCTTCACTATACTGCCGGCTGTGTGGAAAAATTCCCTCCATAGAGCGTTCCTGGATCTCTTGGTGGTATGGATTCTCAAGTGAGCCCGCTCTAGTTCGTCCTTATTCATATTATTAAACCACTCGTTCATTATTTCTTCGGCTACTTCTTCTCCGCCCCACTGCTCCAGGGCCCTATAAATGGCCTGACATAAGTCCTGGGCTTCGAAGTACCATCCTCCTGATTCTCCTTGGTGATCCTGATAGATTACTAATATCATACTCATCAGATCCATGCAGATTGCCAGTTGCCTTTGATAACTTTGACTCCCGTATAATTCATTCCCACTAGTCAACCTTTCCCAGGTACTCGTGGTGGTATTTATTCTACAAGTTCCTGAGGGCGGTTTATTAAATATGAACCCGATCTTGTTGGCTTGATATTTGGATGTCTTTGGGTTTATCATTTGGTTATGGTCCAGCTCCTGGTTATTGAACCATACCTCTAATGCCTGGCAGATCATCCTACTTCTCAGGGGAAGTTTGAGTAATGTTGTCCCGGGGCCTATTATGGGTCGATCCCACCTCTTTGGATCCACCCTCGTACTTTCGTCTCCGGGGGTATCCCTCATATCTCTTATTTTGAGGTCGGTTAGCCCCTCGTGAGAACCCTTTCCTCTGCTTCTGTTCTTCCAGATATACTCGTCTATCCAGCCGGTCAGCATCCAGCGTCTTGGATTCCAGTTGTTTTGTTCTTACCCGGGTGGGGGTCGTCTTGTGACTTCTCTTAGTCATTTTTAATGTTCACGTGGATGAGTACCTGTTGTCCGGTTGTCCTGGATCCAGTCCCCTGTCCTCATGTTTGCTTGGGCCGATGTATTCGTCCTTGGCTTTGCTCCCCTCTCCGGTCCACCATAAGGTTTAGCTTTCTCTTTGGGACGGATAAGATTAGGGCCGCCTGGGGTCGTCCTTAGTCACACAGACCGTTCACTCTTCTGTCTCTCTTGTTCGAGGTGGAGTCCGGATTAGCTCCTTTGTATCATCTGTATCCGCCGGTTAACCTCGGGTACGTTTCCTTCTGGAAACTCTTTCTCCTTCACATTTTCCCTACTTTAGTCTCTGGGGGTACTCCCTCTCACTCTTCGTTTTCTGGATCCTCTACACGTCTCGTCTCGTGGGAGGGAGTCGGTGTGGCAGTGAAGCTTAGTCGTCAGTCTCTTGAGGAGTTGTTCCTATTTTTGGAGGGGCACTTCAGGGCCGACGGACAGATTGTGATACTTCTGCTCCCTCTTATTACTTCCTTGTTCCTTTTTCGGTAGCGACTCATCCCAATCATTTCTTGTGGAGTCCCGCCTGTGGAGTGAGTCGACTCCGATACAGCTGGAAGTAGTGGCACTTAGTAAGAGGCTCCTAGTACTGTTCACCTATAACTTGCCTCTTGGCTAATTCTTCTTCGACTGCGGGTTTGGGACCTTCTTCCTGGACTGGAGATCACTCATAAGCATTCTTTAGAGTCATTTGGGGCCCCTCAGAGGTGTATCTCCTGATTCATTTCTCACTTGTCCTCATCTCTCCTCTCTACCCCAGTTACTCCCCTCGTGATTCCCTTTGGTTGAGTTGTCCCTTTGGGCTGGTGTCGTATCTTCTCTCTATGGTGTAAGTGCAACCCTTCCTCCCTCGTTGGTAATCAGTCGCGTCCTTCCTGAGGTGTGATAATCCTTGAGGTCCTGTTCCCTAGTGTGTCCTGTGATAGATTTTCGCTTTCAGGAGGGTCCTTCTTCCTTTTATGACTCTTCCCTTAGTCTCAGTACCTGTGGGCCGCCGCGTTCAGGGGCTCGGGAGGCCCTGGTTTTTTCCGATGTTGTCACTCTTTACTTCCATGTTTTCTTTTTCTTGTGCCCTCGAGGGGGGACATTTGTCCTTCGTCTTTTTTCTTGGGTCCAGGCTCCGATGTGTTCGATTTATGATACCTACGCCTTTTGATATCACGCCATACCCACCACGTAAGATACCGCCTCGGGTGTTGGCCGGGCTCCTGTTGGTTTGTTGCAGGTGGACTTAGTCGGTCTCACCTGGCCTGCGACACTCAGTTGAAATTTCCAGGGGGGGGCGTTACTCTGGGCCCCTTATGGATACGCTCTCTCTTATTCCATAGGGATCAGTTCGTAGATTCCTCCCCGACTCCCAAACTTCCCGTATGGTCGGCGTCCCCTTCTTATCCGAATTCCTATACTCATGTCCCATAGTCAACAGCTTCCGTTCTTTAGGGGGCGCATAGAGAGGCCCCGTCTCAGGCTTCGGACACCTCCAGCCGGGGGGGGGGCTTCTGGATGTTTGGGCTCTTTACTTCTCTTCCGGCGTCCTGATCTGCTTACTCCTTGGCGCCCGGCCTATGAGGTAACCATCCTTCACCCTCTGTGGAGGATGATACTCCTCTCAGGAATTTGCGGTCGGTTTGTCCTTTTTCTCTGCTCCCTTCCGGTCCAAATTAACCCCCTCTCCCATTTGAGGTCCTAACTTCTCTTTTTTTGGAACTGTCATGGCCCAGGTTGCCTTTTGGATACATCCCCGGACTTCCTCTTTGGCTGGCTACTGGATCCTTCTGTGTACTTGCTACCTGTCGGATGATTAGTTCGTCCTAGTAGATTTCCCCTGTCTCCTCCATTGTTAGGACACTGGTTCTGTTCGAGGAACCGGATAATACACGGGTAGCTCGTCCTTCTCTTACTTTAGCAGCTCGTCCCCTTAACCCTTAACTCGAGCTCGTTTTCTTTTCGGTTATTTCTATCGGGCACCGTCGCCCTCTCGTGCCTTGAGATAAATTAGCCGTCAATGAATGACTAGTCTACGCCACTTAGGATTCACCTCGTGTTCTACCCCTAGACTGTGTCTCCATTATCTTCGTGGGCCGTATATGTTCCGGGTGGATGAGCTGTACGTTGTTTCGGGTACGGAAGTTGATTGTCTACTTGGGTGATTGATATATCACCATATACCTGCTCTCGGGGAAACCTTACTCTATACTCCACTCATTAGACCCTTGTGTCCAGATTTGGGGCGCTCTTTGCGGGGCTCAAGCACTCGGATCTTTTTTTCATGTGATCTTGCACCAGTCGTTCCTTCCTGTGTGGTTCTATTAACGCCCTCAG